AGTCTGTGAGATTTTTTTTTTTGGGGGGGGGTCCAGTCATGGGCCTGAACTCTGGGCCTGGGCGCTGTCCCTCAACTATTCAGCTCAAGGCTAGCACTCTACCACTTGAGCCATAGTGCTACTTCCGGCTTTTTTTTCCTGCTTATGTGGTGCTAAGGAATCGAACCCAGGGTCTCATACATGCAAGGCAAGTGCTCTACCACTGAGCCACCTTCCCAGCCCGTCTGTGAGATTCTTATCTCCAGTTAACCACCAGAAAAGTAGTATAGTGCTAGCCTTGGGCAAAAGGAGCTTAGGAACAGCGCCCAGGCCCAGAATTCAAGCTCCATGACCCAGAAAAAAAAATGCTGTTGACCTGTGTCCTGTCTCTTCGCTCCCTCCCCAGATGTGGACAGTGGCTACTACACAGTTAAGTTTGACTCGCTACTGCTAAAGGAGGCGGTGGTTGAGGGGGACAGCATCCTGCCCCCTCTGCGCACAGAGGGCCCAGAGTCCTCCGACTCAGACAGCGGAGATACAGATGACTCCAGCTATGCTAGAGGTATGGCAGCCACTTAGGAGCCAGAGGTAGAGAGTCAGGGTTTGGAGCAGAATAGGTGAGGTTAGCCCGGGAGAGATCCAGCTGACAGGAGTAACTGGGGAGCCACGGCAGAGCCCGGGACCAGAGGGTGTGTGGCAGGCCTGAGGCCACAGAGGCAGACACAACCCCCTGATCCAAGGTCCCAGCTACATTGTGTTTCTATGGATGAGCTGCATTTCGTCCAGGACCCAAACTTGCTACAGGCATGTTCTGTATGTCTGGCCAAGCACCAAGATGGCCTCAGATACCCAACAGAATCACAGGAGAGGGGAGGGACTGCAGGTGCTGGACTCAGCAGGGCGTCACAGAAGGTGACAAGTCCATGGACTTGTCAGTGGGCTGGGTCTTTGGTAGAGGGTAGCAGAAGTGATCCTTGCAAGTAGAAAGCGTATGTTCAGACAACCAAGGCAGAGATTTCAGGAAGGGAGCTTGTCAGCAGTGTCCAGCCCTGTGAGAAGTGGGTAAGGATGAAGGTAGAAGCCGGGCACTGGTGGCTCACGCCTGTCATCCTAGCTACTCAGGAGGCTGAGATCTGAGGATCGAGGTTCAAAGCCAGCCCAGGCAGGAAAGTCCGTGAGACTTTTCAATGAAAACCACCAGAACACCAGAGGTGGTGCTGTGGCTCAAGCAGTAGAGCACTCGCCTTGAGCTGAAGAGCTGAGGGACAGCGCCCAGGCCCAGAGTTCAAGCCCCACAACCAACCAAAAAAAAAAAAAGATGAAGGTGGAGATGTCCCCAGGATGTGTGACAAGAATTGATGGTCTTTGAACCCCGAATCTGTGGTGATAGAGACCTGAGGAAGTGAAGTTGGCTATCTACCCAGAGATACCTGGGAGGCCCCGCCTAGAAGCAGACCCTTTGGTACCATTGGCTGGAATCCATGGCACCCTGGGAGTCTTGGCTGAGCCACTGCTCTGTTTCCTGCAGTGGTGGAATCTACTGTCGACCCTGGAACCTGCAGTTCTGCGTTCGCTGGCTGGGAGGTACACACACGGGGCATCGGCTCCAAACTCCTTGCCAAGATGGGCTATGAGTTGGGCAAGGGTGAGTGTGTGCTGCCCTGAGGAGGGTGCTGCGGTAAGGCCCTGGGCTCTCGCAGCGCCAGTGGCAGCCTGCGTCTTCCTCAGGTCTGGGCCGACGCGCGGAAGGCCGAGTGGAGCCCATCCATGCTGTGGTGCTACCTCGAGGGAAGTCCCTGGACCAGTGTGCTGAGATACTTCAGAAGAGGACCAAGAGGGCTCAGGCCAGTGCCAGCAGGCCCCCACGGTGCCGGGGGGGCAGGGGAGGACCTCGGGGCCGCCAGCCTCCTCGGAATGTGTTTGACTTTCTGAATGAAAAACTGCAAAGCCAGGCTCCTGGGGTCCTGGAGGCTGGGGTGGACCCCCCCAGAAGGAAGAACAAGGACATGTACCACGCCACCAAGAACACGAAGCAAGCCCTGAGCCTGCAGCTCTTCCAGACCGAGGAGAAGATCCAGCAGACCCGCCGGGACATCGGGAGCATCCAGGAGGCTCTCAGCAGGAATGCTGGCCGGTATGTGTGGGGCCCAGCCCAGGGTGGAGGGTGGGCCTGGGAGGGCGGGGGCCCCAGGAGGTCTCGCTAAGCGGCAGGCCCTTCCTAGGCACAGCCTGGCCACAGCTCAGTTGCAGGAGAGGCTCGAGGGCGCCCAGAGGCAGCTGGGGCAGCTTCGAGCTCAGGAGGCCGGCCTGCAGCTCCAGCGACGGAAGGCTGACACCCACAGGAAGATGACTGAGTTCTAGAGGCCAGCGTGTGCCGTGGGTGGCGCCCAGCACCCTGGTGGGAAGACCACCGTCACCTAGTTCCCAGGAGAACCTCCGGAAGAGGGGCTGCCTGCCCCAGGCTGCTCCGTGTCTGGCCTCACTGACCTGAAGCGTTTGGGCAGTGCGGCGTGCAGATGGGCTGCAGGTCATTTCTGGACACTGTTCACCAAGCTCGACTGCCAGTGACTTGGGGAATCTCCTTAGCAAGGACATTAAAGTGATTTCATTACTGTGTCACTCAGTGAAGACTTGGCTTGCTGTGGGATGGGGAAGGAGAAGTGTGTGAGGAGGCAGGCTGGGTTGGAAGGATCCCAGGTGAGGACCCAGTGCGTCCCTTCTGTCCCCTCTCCAGCCACGCGGCTACCACTCACCAGCGCGAGCTCAGTGTGCGGGGACAGACACGGAGAGCACTGGTAGTCACGCGTGCGGCCTTCTTGGCCACCCTGACCATCCAGGTGATCTGTGCCGCCCTCCTCGGGAGTGAGTGTTTACCTTGTTGGGTAGGAGGGATGTGGGCTAGGTCAGAACAGTGCTAGCTGGTAACAGAATCACACCTAGACCCTGGCGGTGTAGCAGCCGGGGAGCAGCTGCAGGGAGGGTTGAGCCACTGCTGGGAGGCGCTCTGTGCCGGGCAGGAAATGAGGTGGGGCGCCAGCCCACACCCGCAAGGACCTCTCTGCTGCTACCGACTGTGGAGGACAAGCAGCGTTGAGGCTGTGGTAAGTGCAGCCCGGGCGGCCCCAAGCTCCCTGATGCCATCCAGCTGTGACCAGCTCCACTGAGAAAAGACAGGTCCTGGGGCTGGGCCGGGGCAGGGAGGAAGAGAGCCGTGAGGCTGTCAGTGGGTGCTGAGTGAACCGTCCTCCACCGTCCGTGCTGGTGATGAGGGGCTTACAGGCCTCCCCAGACGGCCATGCCTGGACCAGGTCGGCTCTAGCGGCGGCCTGTGCCTTGAGAGGCTTCCCAGTGCAGCCTTGGCCATGCTTCTGGCCATTGCTGTGGCCATACTCGTCAGCCAAAGGTCCAAGCAACGCCTTTCTTCACCAGGAGCCCTGGCTAGAGGAGGGAAGGTGGGCAAGAGCGCGAGGCCTGGGGCTGCTGGGTGTGTGCCTGGTACCTCGAGTGCCCCTTTCTCCCGCCCTTAGGTGCTCCCACGACAGGATGGGGCTGCTGGCGCCCCCAGCCCCGCCAGTCCTCTGGGTCCTAGGGTGCCTCTCCCTGCTCCTTTGGCTGTGGGCACTGTGCACAGCCTGCCACAGGTACCGCATGTTCATCCAGTCCAGGATTCTGGCTTAGGTCCTTGCCCAACAGGAGCTTTGCATGGACCCCTGTGCCGGGGCAGGGGTGGGGCAGGGCAGGGCGGGGCGGCATCCAGCAGCCCTGCCCCTGCTTTGTTTTGACCTGATGATGCTCTTGTCCCAGGAAGCAGGCTCAGAGGGGACCAGCTAGGCGTCCTGTCGTCATGATGCCGGTGGGAACGGTGAGTGCCAGGCCGTCCCCCGGGCCAGGGAAGGGCCCGCGGGGGACCCACCAGCATTCCTTACCCCCAGTCGCATCTGAGGCAGACCTACCTCTGCTCCCTCAGCAAGTCCGACACGAGGCCGCAGGAACTCCACCGTGGCAGACTCCACAGCACAGGTGAGCCTCGTGGGCGGGACCTGGGCAGGCTGGCTTCAGTCCTGAGGCCAGACCTGCTCCATCACCTGAGTGACCTCTGCTTGGCTCCACCCCCAGCCCCACGACCTGCCAGCACGGATCTGCGTCCACTGTGGCCAGAGATGTCCAGGGGCAGCACCAGACTGCAGGCCGCCGCCTCTCCCTTCCTACCGCAGCAGCTGCCCAGGACCCCTTCTGCTACCACAGCCGCCACCTCCACCGGCCCTGAGGACACCTACTCCAACGTGGGACTGGCCACCGTCCCCAGGGCCAGGCTAGCAGCCAGTCCTGTGCTGTGGGGAGAAACACAGTTGATGAGCTGTGCCCAGCTTGAGTCCAGGGCCAGATCTACAGCGGCCGAGCATGCCTGCATCCCGAAGAGCAAGGGTCCCCAGGAGCTGCATGGGGGGGCAGGGGTGACCCCCGCTGCTCAGGTAAAGCCGGTCTTGGTGGGATGGGGTGGATGGGACCCGTGGGGCCTTGGTAGTGGATCTTCATACACACACACCCCTCCGGTCTGCACATGCACACACCCACACACCCGGTCTGTTCCTTACCTCCCCCCCCCCCACATACACACCTGTCTGCTCCCCCCCCACACACACACACACATACCCCCGTCTGCTCCCTCCCTCCAGGATATCCTGTACTCGAAGATCTGCAAGCCTAGACACAGGGATCCAGGACTTACCCTAGGCCAGCCAGACCCTCAGGGTCAGGAGGCAAGTCCTGCCCCAAAGAGAGGCCTGGCACAGGAAGATGCCCCCCAAGGCCTGGGCATGGACCGAAGCCCCCTGGAAAATGTGTATGAGAGTATTCAGGAGCCGAGGCTCTGAGCGCCTCCACCCCGTCCCCTCGGTTAACGCGAGCAGGGCCTGTCCACAGGACACCAAGGCCTCCCGCCACCCTCCTCAGCCATGGACCTTCACCCAGAGGACTCCCACCTGCAGGGCCCATCCCAGGTCCACCAGCTCATCCAGATGGGCCTGCACTCTAATAAATCCCCACCACACAGATGCGTGTGCTTGCCTCATAGTCTGCCTCTTTGGGAGTATGGGGGGTTGAACCCACGGTCTCACGGTTGCAAATGTCCTTCTTCCTGAGCTTTGCCCACAACGGGGTCTTTACTTGGCTGGCCTTGAGCTTGTCTTCCTGCCTCCACTTCCCTGGTAGCTAAGATTAAAGATGTGCATCTGCTTGCTCAGCTTGCCTTAAAACCTAGGAGAGCTGGAATTAGTGTTGTAGAAGGTTTAGAGATGTTCCCTCCCTGCCTTGGGGTGGGTTCTTGTTCTGGGTGCCAAGCTCTGGTGCCTGACCTGTGCCCTTCTCAGGAAGAGTGGAGAGGTGGAGAGGCCAGCGCTTTCAGGAGGTTTCCAGGGCTGAAGGCAGTGCGGCCAGCCCAAGGTCAGACCAGACCCTGTGTTCTTTGAGGGAGGTTGGCAGTGCCACACCTGTGGCCTGGGGACTTGAAGGAGGTGCAGTCCCTGCCCCGCCAGGGCGCCCTCCCCACCAGGACACCCTGCAGGGAAGCTCCAGGCCCTAGTAGAGAGGCAGGCAGGGCCTGGGCCCCCTCCCCGGCCCAGGCAAGGCAGGGAGCAAGCCCACAGGGAGCGGGGCTGCCTGGGAGCTGACGGCTGCCTGGGAGCGGGCAGCTCGGCTGCCAGCCGGGCCCCCAGCAGCATGGAGGCCGTGCGAACCTGAGCCCTTGTGGGTCCGCGAGGTGTCCAGGGCGGTCGGCTGGGCTCTTCCCTCTTCCCGCAGTGGCTGCCGATGTGGAGTGCGGGCCCCTTGGAGCCACGGGGCTGGGGGTGCAGGAGCGTGTCGCTGTGTGCACACTTGGTGCACGTGTGTTGCTGTGCAGACTTGGTGTGCACATGTGTGTCACTGAGTGCATGTAGGTGTCGGTGTGTGCTCATGTCGCTGTGTGCACGTTCAGTGTGCACGCAGGTATTTTAGTGTGTACACATTTGGTGCATGCACATGTTGCTGTGCACATACATGTCACAGTGTCCACGTCTGCATTCTGTGTGCATTCACATGTCACTGCATGTACGTGTTGGTGTGTGCGTGTGCATGTCTGTGCACACTCGTGTGTGCATGCACATACGTGTTGCGTGTACACACGCATATATGCAGATTTCTGCCTTCCCTGCCCTCCCCACTAATGGCTCCACCAAGGAAGGACAGCTGCCCAGGGTCAGGAACCAGGATTCTGCACCCCCCCCCGGAACAGCAGGGGTGGTTGAACTGTCTGGGAGTCCCTGGGGTCCCACAGGCACCTCTTCCTGACCCAGAGGTTCCCAGCACTTGTGGCTGGCACCCAGAGCAAGCTGGGCTGACCTGCTGCAGCATGGTAGCTGCCTGACCTGAGCCCGGGGTCCCCAGGCTGGCTGCTGGCTGCCCTTTCCTCTGGGCCTCGCTATGCCCGCAGCTGCTGCTGCACAGCCCTAGTGTGTGGGAGATGGGGGAGGCCGGTGCCCCAGCGGCGCAGTTTCACTCCTGTCTGCTGTCTTCAGAAGCTGAATGGAACACAGAACCTAGGCCCCCAGCAGACCCCTGGCAGCCCCTGGCCATTTTCTGTAACTGGGCCGGCCAGGGGGAGGCCAGGCCCCAGAAGCCGCAGTCTCAGCCCCCGGCCCGGTGAGGTTCAAAGGTTAGCAGGACTCTGCCAGCCAGCGGGGACCCCAGGCCTACTCTACCCCCTTCCAGATGTTCTCGGCACCCCTTGCAGAGGCTAAAACTGCAGAACCCCAGGCCTGCGTGGACTTCCACCTGCGCTGTGCTGCCTTGCTGCCTTGGCCTTGCCTCACGGCTTCCTCCCTCCCTCCAAGGAGGCTTCTCACCTAGCACCGAGGCCGGCACCTCCCAGAGGCTCTCCCCTTCCAAACTCAGCTGAACCTGAACCGGGCAGCTCAAGAGCTAAGGACCGAGGAGGCCAGGGGGTGGCCAGCAGGCAGGCAGGTTCTGCCAAGCAGCAGGGCCCTCCCCAGGTTCCCAGAGCTCTGCCTGGAGCCTAGGAGGAAGACCTGGTGCAGGCAGCAGCAGCGGCAGCACAGCAGAGATGAGGGCTGGGACCCGGCGTGCTGAGGAGGAGGAAGGGGAGCCTGGGAAGCCCTCAGGGAGGAGGCAGCTGCGGTGGACTTGGGCCTACCTCAGCAGCCTGTGAGGTCGTGTTCCAGTGCCTGTGGTTTTGAGGTGCTGGCAGGTGCTGAGCCCGCGTCTGGATCAGCCTGGCACACGGGCTTGTGCTGGGGCGGAGGCCGGGCCAGGGTGGGGCCCCACTGGGGCGGCCCTGACAGGAGGCTGGCAGTCAGAGCAGGGTGATCGCTGAGGACTTCCACAGCACAGAGCTGGTGACTGCCTGGCCCCCACCCACCCAGGCTCAGGCCCGCACAGCAGCCCTGCCTGCCACGCTTCCTGCTAGCCCGACGTGTGTGAGGGTTGAGCCTGGGCACGCATCCATCCACTCCATGCCCCTGCACGTCCCCCAGGAAGCCCTCTATGACACCACGAAGTGCCAGAGGGGTGTGGCGGGGCCCTGGGACCTGTGGTGCTCAGCTGCTGCCATCACTCCCCCCCAAGCCCATCTCTGCTGCTGAGCCTGGCCTCCAACCGACGCGTGGGCCAGCGCGGGCCGGAGCCGGGCTGGAGCGGGCCGGAGCAGCGTGGGGCAGTCCACCTCCTCGGAGGTTTGTGGAGGGTTCCTGACACTCAAAATGCCTGTCGTGGGGCTTGAACGCAGGGCCTGGGCGCTGTCCCTGCCTTCTTTTCCCTCAAGGCCAGCGCTCTACCACTTGAGCCATAGCACCACTTCCGGTTTTCTGGTGGTTAATTGGAGCTTTCTGGCCCTGGCTGACTTTGAAGCACAATCCTCACATCTTAAGTCTCCTGAGTAGTTAGGATCACAGGTGTGAGCCACCAGCAGGAACCAGCCTTTTGCACCAAAGGCAAACCACACACCGCTGTCCCTTGGCCCTGGGGCAGCCAGCCCTGCGTGTCTCCGCCCCCTCCACACACTTGAAAGGGTGTTGATGGAATGGTGGTAGGCACCAGGCTAGAGTCACTGAGGAGTGTGTTGCCCAGACCCTAGGTCTAACAACTCATTTGCAAAGCTCAGCTGTCTTCATGGATGGACGTGGGCGGGGGAGGGGCATCTTCCCCCAGAGCTGAATCGGCCTCCTCAGACTGCGTGGGGCAGGGTGATGGGAAGCCAACGGTAACCAACGCATCTGAGCCACCTCCTCCAGGGTGAGGCCCCTGGGAAACACACAGCAGCCATCTGCTTGGAGCAGCCATTTCCGGATTTATTGAAAGCAATCGTTTGTGAGAATGTCTATGCTAATCCCGTCACAGAAAGGAAACCCACAGGCAGCCTGAGCACACAAGGCAGACAAGAAACAGAGACCCACTGGGGAAGGTGCTGTTCACCTGTCCTGTGGCTACAGAGAAGCAAGACAGCAGAGCTGTGATTTCCCGACTGATTACAAAAATCCTCCTCCCCAAATATTAAACACATCTTTAGTACAAACACAGGTTATAATTAATATAAAGTCATATAATATAGATTATCTCCAGAGAAAATCAACAATCTTCAAACACTGCCCTTTTTTGTCTATTCTATTTTTGTTGACAGGTTGAGAGCATGTTGAAAAAATAAATATTTCAGAAAAGCACACAGAGCACCCTCACTACAGAGGTTCTAAAGGGCTACATACAAAACACAACATAAAGACAACCACCATTAAATATGGCTTCTTCAGAGTTGCACATGTCACAGAATGAGCCAAAGTAAGATTATCTTTCATAATATTGCAAAAAGTTCCAGTTTTTTGCATTTTCTCAGGTTTTTTTAAAGGAAGATGTGCAAAGTTGGAAGCAAAGCTGTGATTTCTGAGTCAGGTCCCTGTGGAGTCCTGGCAGTGTCCTGTTTCCCCAAACCCAGAGAGGCCACAATACAATCTGGTCAGGACCCAGGGCTCAGTGGAAGAGTCCTGCGGCCCCCCCTACCCTCCCCCCTCCCGCGGGCCACATTCTCCATTCGGTGTCACAAACACCAAAACACAGACACAGGAGAAAATACAAAATGTGAAATGTAATCTACACATTTTTCCTCTTCATAAAAAAATATTTATTCGTTTGAATATTGATTAAAAAAAATCAGTCACGTAAACAAACAAACCCCTTCATTACACACTTTTCCCTCTGGACTCCTGAGATGGATATATTCATCTGGGTCTCTGAATCTCATACTCTCCAGTAGCAAACTGAGTGAAAACAAAGCTTTTCACTTGGCAAGCACCCAGGGAAGGAGTGGGACAGGAATTTGGCCCTTGGGCTTCAGTACAGTATTGGTTTTAAGGAATTGCCCCTGTGGCACCAACAGAGAACCCCCAGGAAGGAAGCCAGAGCAGAGCCCAACAGAGGACAGGCGTCCTGAGAGCAGAGGCTGAGCTGCCCTGGGAGGGCGGCCCGAGAGACGGGGCAGGTAGAAAGTCTAGAGACACTGACGGCAAAGGCCTGGGTTCCAAATGCATTTTATAAGAAAGTGTTTAGAAAAGGCATTTAAAAAGTGGGAGAAGGGTAGAAAGTTCTGAGAGCCCTGGAGAGTCTGGCAAGGCTGGAGGGAGCCAGCAGGAAGCTTTGTTGGTTTAAAAGGACTAGCTTTGCTGCCCAACTGGGAAGTGGCCCCGGGCCCCGGGCCGGGCAGGCGCGAGGTAAGCCTTGCAAGCTAGGTGAAGCTCTGGCTCGGAGGGGCTCTCGGCACCCTGAAGGATGCGTAGGCAAGCTGCCGGGCACGCTCTCTGGTATGGGAAGAAACAGTGGCTGACTTTATTCTTCAATAAAAACCCCGGTTCTTCCCCATGGCACAGGCCAGAAGGACAGCCACGTCCACCTGGGGCAGCCCAGACCCCTCGGTGGCCCTGGGGCAGCTGGTACTCAGGGAGACAGCACTGCACACAGCCACAGGGCCTAATGATGGTGCCTTGCCTAAAGAGAACAGGTGTGACACAGTAAAAACGCTGGAAAAAGTCGTTTGGCTGACAGTCTGAAAAAGAGGAAGACACTGGTCCCCACAGCGCTGTCAGCAGCCTGAGGGCCCTGCCAGGCTGGCAGCCAGCCTGCGCAGGGGACCTGTCTCCGTGGGACAGGGGACAGGGCAGGCGGCAGGGGGTCCCTGCAGAGGCCTTTGCTTTGTCACTCGGGAAGAATGGACGTGGGGAGAGCGCCTCTATGAATACAGCAAGAAGACTGGACAGTGAGCCAAAGGAGCCAAACGAAAACAACTCTATATAGTTTTGTCGTGAAAAATAATGCCAAACAAAATAATGTTCTGTAACTGCTTCGGTGTGCCTCTGCCCACGTGAGAATTTGGTTACCCGGGAAGGGAGGTGTGGCCGCACGGCAGCAGGGACGGCTCACCTCCAGTGTTAGCAGCGACAAGGGCAGAGCCTGCTCCGGCCCGGCCCGGGGTCAGCCAGTGCCCAGGGAGGATGAGAAGTGCTTGGAGAATGGAGAGTTGAGGCCCACCCTCCAGAACCTTCCAGAGGCTGCAGCCCCTCACCCTACCGGCTGGGGGTGAGGCCGCTTCCACCAGAGAGAGCACCTGGCACCTGGGCCTCCAGTGGGCGTCTGCAGCCATGTAGTGTTAAGCACCAAAGCGTGGAGGTAAAAAGATCACAGGGCTCTGCACATGGGACCTGGATCCTACAGACAGGCTGCCTCCGGTGGCAGGAGCCGAGGAGAGGGGCTGCTGCACCGGGCGCAGACACAGCCGGCGGAGCAGGGCTGCTAGGAGCGGCAGGCAGATGCAGCTCAGACATATATGGAACTCAACGTCCACTCGGGCCTGTGCCCTGCAGATCTGCCCTAACCGCGGCCAGGCCGCAGAGCCGCCGGCACCCCAGGCGAGCAGGCCGCCGAGGGCAGATGCCCCGGTACACGCCCTGGCCCAGCCCTGCCTGCACACCTGCACACACCTGTGGGGACGGGGAGCACGCAGACTCCTGCGCCCACACCCACCGCACCCCTGCCCACGCCCAGGGCTCCCGGTGGGGCGTGTGGGTGGGGCGGGGCCCGGGAGAGGGCCTGACCCGGCCCCCCGGTGAGCAAAGACCCACGAGACGCACACATAGGTGGACGGGACGAGGCAGCTGCCAGCCGCCCTTCGCAGGCGGCTCTAAGGAGCCCAGGCGAAGTCCTGGCCGGGCTCTGTGCAGGGGCTGCGGGGCCCCCGCGGCGAGTCCCCGTCCTCCTGAGCCAGGCCCCCGTCGCCCTTCCACTTGGCCGTGTCCTCGTCCAGCTCCTCCTCGCCCTCCCCGCGCGGGTCCTCGGGGTCCTCCAGGTAGACCCCTCTGCCGGCAAACAGGGCCTCGGGGGAGCCCGCAGGGCTGCCGGCGCTGCGCCCCAGCGGCGGGGCCACGCCCCGGCCCGCACAGTCGGTGCACACGCCGTGGCGCCGGGAGCCATGCTTGATGCCCACGCTGGCCGCGGACATGAACACGCGGCTGCACACCTTGCACACGTACTTCTTGTCCTTACTGTGGACCTGGGGGACAGGCAGGCAGCAGAGGTCAGGACCCTCGGCCCGCAGCGGGGCCAGGCCCCACGCAGGCACGGGAGGAAGAGCCCTTGGCTCGCCCTTGGGTTGGAGACCTTGGACTCCCGCACCAGCCTCGGGACCTGCCCAGAACTGCAGGAAACGCAGAGGGAGGGAGGCTGGGCACCAGGGGCAGCAGTGACCCCACCACCTCTAGCTGGATCAGGAGTCAGGATGTATTTGCCTGGGAGCGCGTCCTCATTGCCCTGCTGGACCCCTCCACCACACAGGCCACACGGCTGCTCCGGAGCCCCAGCCACTCACCCCACACGGGGGCAGAGGAGCTGGCCTGGAGGCCCAGGTGAAGGCCCAGTTGGGAAGACAATGCTGCCTGCCTGGGGGAACAGCAGGGCTGGGAGTGCAGCAGCTGGAATCTTCCAGAACATGTCCTGAGGGACGGGGCAGCAGGGGGCAGAGGACTGAGAGTGAAGGGCAGCCGGGTGGGGAGGCTCACACCTGTAATCCCAGCTACCCGGGAGGCGAGGCTCAGGAGACCACAGTGCCAGGCAAGCCCGGCAAAGGGCTCATGAGACCCTATCTAGAGCAGGAAGCTGGGCGCGATGGCGTCTGTGACCTCAGCTGCGTGGGAGGCCTAGAGAGAGGGCACCGGGCTGTCCTTGGAGCCCCTCACCAGTGCCAGACGGTGGGCCAGTCACTCGCCTGACCGAAGCGTGCTCAGGAAGAAAGCCGGAAGGGCAGGTACAGAGACCATGGCAACCTGTCGCCAGGCCCCCGGGGGGCTGGGGAGGCTGGGGAGCAGCCGCTGGACCAGGCACTGATCGCTCACACCTATCATCCTAGATATTCTGGAGTCTGAGAGCCGAGGATCCCAGTTCAAAAACCAATCTGGGCAGACAAATCTGAGCAACTCCTGTCTCTAACCAGCAAGGAGCCAAAAGCGGAGGTGTGGCTCAGATGCCATCTGTGGGTGGAAACGCTGAGTCCAGGCTTCTAGCACGGGAGGGGAGGCAGCTACAGGTCCTGAAGGAGCTCCCTGTGCCAGCAGTGAGGCAGGGAAGCGGTGTGGCCAGGCCCGTGGGCCTCAGAACCGCCTGCAGGCAGAGGCCCAGAGGAGCCACGGGAGGATGCTCACAGACCCTGCTCGCACGACCCTCCGCTCTCTGCTCACCTTCGGGGAGTCACGATGCCCTCCAGGCCCGCCGTGAGTTGCAGGCTGAGGGTCCTGAAGCACACCTGTCCTCCAACAGGACTAGACTGTTTCCTGAGGCACCGTTCTGCCCTGGCCTGGCTGAGGTAGAAGGCACCCTGACGTAAGGCTAGGAGATACGGTTCTCCCTGACTAGGAAAAATGCCGCTCGGTTCAAACACCATGGCTGTGGCTCAAACAAACAGCACATGGGGAGCGAAAACAACGGAGGCCTTGGGCTGGGCCTGGCCGGGTCTGGCCGCTTCCTTGTGTGGACCAAAGCCCTTCCTAGGGCTCCTCTTGTTCCCCACGTCCCTGCCCTGCAGGGGAGGGGTGGGGAGGTCCACGGGTCTGTCCTGGGACCCCCTTGAGGCTGGGGCCAGGCTGGGGGACTTGACCAACAGCCCTAGGGCACAGAATGCCAACAGGGCGGGCTGGTGCCCACTGCAGGGAGCATGCACAGACCCTCAAGGGGAGATGGAGCCCACTGGGCTGGAAAAGCAGAAAAAGCGAAGCAACTAACCCTGAAGCAGAGGGGGACAGACTGGACTGGGGGCCCGGGGACGCTGGGACCAGGCAGTTCGGCCTTCGGAAGGGTGAAGAACGTGCCTTGAGACTCGCTCACCCTGACCTGGGTCTGCAGGTCGGCCTGGCCACCTGCAGGTGGGCCCCAGGCTGGTGCGCACAGGGGCACGGTTGCACCTCTCGCCCTCCCTGGAGGCTGTGACGGAGCGGAGACGCTCCCGCCCATCCCCTGGCCACGCACTGTCCGCCTCACGCCGGCACGCCGCCTCTGCTCCTGTGCTCTGCCCCCCCCACCCCGGGTACTGCTCAACCATTCTCTGTTTATTTCCCTGCCGTCTAAGAAAATCCATCCTTCAACACGCGTGACCTGTCAAACTGCCTAAGGTGTTGAACCTGAGTGACCGCCAGAGCAGGGCCAGAGTAGAGCCACGCTCCCGGGGCGGAGATGCCGGCCAGGCGGGGGTCCCAGAGCAGGGGCAGAGTAGAGCCACGCTCCCGGGGTGGAGGGCCGGCGGGCGAGGGTCCCAGGCAGGCTCCATCTTCCCTCCACAGAGCAGGTCCCATTTTGGGGGCTCCCACTCGGGTGCTGCCCCTCTGCGCCTCCCCCGCTGCTCCCCTCGGCCCCACTCACCAGCGTGTGCCGCTTCATGTGCTCACGGCGCGTGAACTTCTTCCCGCAGATCTCGCAGGGGTAGGGCCGCTCGCCGGTGTGGGAGCGCATGTGCCGCTTCAGGATGCACTGGTGCATGGCCGAGAAGCTGCAGTACGGGCACTTGAACTTCTTCCTGATGACTGCGAACTCGTTCACTGCAAGACAGCGGCCGGGTGTCAGCGCCACCGTGTGGCCAGGAACCGTCTCTGCCTCCCCA